CCACCACAGCTGGTGGGGGGGGGGGGGGGGGGTGCACGGCTGGGCTCTAGTGGCTGGTCCTTGTAGTTTCTTCCTCCTCCTTCCCTTCCACCCTTTCTCTTTTTTTTTTCCTCGCTGCCTCCCCTCTTATTTTCTCACTTGCTCTCCTCTTCTTCCTTTCTTTTTTTCCTCTCTCATCACAATAGCCTTAACAAAAAAGAACACACAACAAAAAAGATAGTAGATGAGCTTTTATTTATTGTCACCAGGTTTAGAATTTAGAAAACCTGATATTTACTGTAAACCCCCAACAGTTATGATTATTAACTATATTAATATGCAGTGCATCCTGCCATGTCCTCCCCCACTCCGCTCCAGTTTTGTTTTTCTGGCATACCAGCACTCCAGCACCTTACAAGGTAGACCTTTTCTTTTTTTTTTTCGGCGCTCCAGCCAAAGACATTGCCTACCCCTGCCATAGTAGAACACAGGCATAGCTACACCTACATGATCCCCACCCAATGGCAATGCCACCTCTTCTTGAACACCTCCAGTCGTGGAGAGTCCACAGCTTTCTGGTAGTCTATCCCACTGTTCCACTCTATTCAGTGAAGAGCCACAAAAATGACTTCTTCTCTGAAAAATGTGCCATACAGTAAGATAAGTAAGAAGCTTAGTCAAGTTTGTTTGTCCAAGAGAATGGTAGTAGCTGAGATGATAACCTGAAGAGATTTCTGATAGTAAAGGGGTCTTTAGTGAGAAAATACAGAACAAAGCGATGGCTGGAAGCTACATCTAACCCAAGTCAAATGAACTTTTAAGAGTAAACAAACCTGACAAACCAAGGGAACACCTTATCTAGGCTTGTGATGGGTTCTCCACCAGTCTTTACTGGATGCCTTTATTTTTAAAAATGCTACACTTTATATAGAGCTGTTGGGCTCAATACCAGAGTATTAGGCAAGGTTCCGGCTCATATTATCCTGGATGTTGAGAATGAATGATTACAGACAGACAGACATAGTACCCCAAGCAGAGTTTTCCCTCAAATGGAGAAAGGCCAGGAATAAAGCCATAGAATACACTAAAGATTTTTGGTATTCCTCTTAATTTAATATGTAAGATGATCAGGTACCATGCTGGTGAGTGTGTGAGTGGATGTATGGACTAAATAAATAAATGGATGGACGGATTAAATAAAGCACTTCATTTTGAGCTAGTTCAGCACAGAAATGCATATGTCCAACCTGCCAGCATAGCTCACAAGAAATGCATTGTTAACCCATTTTTCTCCATCAGGTCAGGCCCCCACCTTGACTCGCAGGATGCATTGTAGCAGCTCAATTCACCACAACACTTCAGTGCTTTCTTGGAAACTCAATTTAAGCTAGGAACATAAGCCATATGAAAGAATGGGGCCAGAAGGCAACCACAGCAGTTTAGGCAGTCAGGTTGAATGGACCCAGAATGATTCAGTTCACCAAGCCAAACTGTTCCAATTCAAGACATCTTGACCTAAAACAAAATGGAAAAATCAACATAATTTTTCACATGGGAGATTTTACTTTTCATAAACTGCATTTTCTGCTATAAAAGTGTTGTTGGAACATTCCCAAATAGTTTTAATAAATAGAATTAAGCTCATAAACTGCTACAATTCCCTGGTTTTCTCTCTCTGCTGCTTGGACCAAGAAACAGAGAGCAGACAAGAGCATAAGAAGAAATGAGGAAGGGGAAAAAATGTGTTTCTTCAAATGTAATGCGTCTAGCTTAAAGGCAGAGGAGTAGCTTCAAAAAACGTGTGCTAGTAGATTGCAAAACTTGTTTCTTCATATCACAGGAAAGCTGTACTTACGTTGCATTTCTGTGCTTACTACTAGATTGACCTTCGTGATGACCCCAAAACTTTGGCTCGACTGCTCTATATGAAGGAGAAACCCCTCACTTACGAACACGGAGTGAAGCTAGCTAAAGAGGTATCACTGCTGCACAAGATCCCAAAAACAGAGACTACAGATAGTCTGGCCACTGCTTTAGTCTATGCATATCGCTTCACAATTTGATTCTTTCACTTTTTTTACCCTTTCTTGGGCTCAAACTATAACCTCAAACCCAAACTTGTCACTTGCCTTAGCATCACTATTTGATGAGCACACCAATGAATCTATGGTACATAACTAGCATGTGGTGGTACATTTTCTCTATACATGAGAAATCTGAACAAAATGAAATATCTTTGTTTGATTAAAGAACATCCACTGCAGTATTTTACTACATGTAGGAATAGCTACAGTGATGTAGCATATGCTATTTTTCACATTGTGATAAATCAGGCTGCACATGCTAGAAAAAATTCATTTAAATGAGCTTATCAGGGCAACCTGTGGTTTTTCTGAACAAAAGGTCACATCGGTGTTCAGCAGAGGAGTGCATTCCACTTCTAAAAATATGAATTTTTACAGATGCCGAAATGTTCCAGTGTTCAAAACAAGTTGGGAAGTTTTCATCCAGGTCAGAGCTTGCCCAAGGCTTCAGCATTATTGGGTCTGGTGTTTTAGACAGGTGAATCTCTATGATAGGGTTGTCAAACTCCCTCTGTACCTCAAGCCAGATATAGTCCCCAGGACTCCTCATGCATCAGATCCACAGGGCAAGTGGCAGTGGTGCCAGATCAAGTGGCTACAGGGCAAACTTGGTATCAGCACAGCCTTCACTCACCCACTTACCACCCATGCCCATGTCCAATGGGGCCCCAGGGCCCTGGATTGTGTGACAGGCTACAACCCTTCCCTTCCCCGCCCCACCCTGGCACACCTCCAAATGCCCTGACAGGCCTTTATGTTTGACAGCCCTTCACATGGCTTCCTAAAAACTGATCTCAAAAATATACTCTCTCTAGTACTATATGGGCCATAGACTTCTATTTTACAAGATCAGCTTCTCTGTTTTGCAGTTTATTACTGGCCTAAGTAGTCAGAAGGGAAGGTGGAAATGACTATGAAAATATACCTATACTAATGCCTGCAGTATGTGCACCTATATATCTGACTTGTCACCCTAGAGACATTGGTTGTGCTGGCCTTTACAGTAAACTCTAATTCACCTATGAGATAACTCACCACTGTGGTTTAATTCACTATTAAGCTAATTCCCTATGCTTCCTGTACTATGATAATTGGTCACTACTGGATAATTCACAGTCGTCTTGGGGTGATGAATTAACAAGGGTTTGCTGCAATCAGATGGCTCTAAAGGACCAATCAGAGGCTGAGCACTTGAATTTATCCAAATTCATTTTTGTGGGCTCTGCATTTGCATGTTGTGGATAGAGCTTTGCCTACAGAAGTGGGCAGCTTCCAGCTCAGTAGTAGGCTCCCCTATAAACCCTAATCTGATACTGCCCCTCTACACGGAGAAGTGGAGGAAGCAGACCAAGGCACAGAGAGACATCGAAAGGCAGCATAGTTGGGCTGTGTTTCTTGGCTGCGCTGCCAAGAAGCCCTGAGCCAATGCCTCCTGGAAACCCTCTGGGTCTATGTAGATGCCAGGTTGCAGGGGCTGAATTCCCAGCTGCTTCTGCTCAGAGAAACTTATTACTCAGTGCAATATTTCCTAGGAAGCTCCAAACTGTTATGCCCAGACCTTCTCTTCCTGGGGCAACCCAACCTACAGACACTTACTCGCTCCAGTTTTTTCTCTGGGTTTACCGTTTTCCCCCCACTTTCCCCCTTCCAGTGGGTCTCACAGTCATCCCACACTAGGAAAGAAGTCAGGTATAAGTCAGCGCCGGGACCTAAATCGCACTTAAAGCCTTGGCTCATTCCATGTCGGGGAATTCTGTGCATACAAGAATTGCAAGATCTGACATTTATATGGGTCATAAGCACGTGTGTCTCCTATTTCCCTGTTCTCCAAGCTGTGCATACTTACAGTCTATTTCTCTCTCTCTCTTATTTAAGATTGGAGCACAGTGTTACTTGGAATGCTCAGCCTTGACACAGAAAGGTCTTAAAACAGTCTTCGATGAAGCAATCCTCACCATTTTTAACCCAAAGAAGAAGAAAAAACACTGCATGAAGTGCCATGGCTGCTGCACAGTTGTATGAGGTCACTTGAGAAGCAAAGCAAGACAATGCTGATGTTCAGTTAAACCACGCAGGCTAGACTGTTAACGAGCGGCGCACGCAACTTTAATGGGGAACATGACCAGAAAGGAGTCCTATTTAATCATATAGGATTCCTCCATTCTGTGAAACCTCCAAGCTGTACCATGGTAGGCCAACTAATGTTTATTTGCTTTCCTAACCCTACGGAGCTATCTGCAGCCTGTTCCCACATTATGCTAGACTGCACTGAGCCAGTATGAAACATGATGCCTGCTAACGGCCAGCTCTATGAATAAGATGAAGGTCCTGTGTGTAAAATTTGAAAGACGCTATAATGGAACCAAAAGAACCTTCATTTGAGGCCTTAAACACGAGTTGATCAAAAGTATGAAGCTACAATATGTAGGAATTGAATATGAATGGATCAAAAGCACACAAAGTTCTTTCAAGGTCTAATATGCAAGATATACATTACGAGCAGGATATACTTTCAAATAACTTTTCTTTATAGAAATATAGGATGGGGGGGAGGGGACTTCCCAGGCCCCTAAGTCCAGACCAATATAAGACATTTGTTAATTTCAGGATATACTTTACTTTGTCTACATAAATGAAAACATTGCTTTCATGTTAACATAGTCGATATCAATCTGTCACTGCACTTGGACTATCAGAATTGATCAACATTTACCTCCAGACTTAAGGAATGTTCTTTTTATTAAAAAAAAATGCAGATAACTGTATTCATGGAAATGTACAGGCTGAGCCATCTTTTCAAAAGCTGGGAGAGGGGAAACAATATTAGTGAAAAACATGAAAACAAAGAAATTGTGTTACCAAAGAATATCGTAATAGGTGTGAGGTATCAGCGTGGAAGCAAACTCAGAATGTTAAAGGGTTGCATTTGTAAATGCAGTTGTCCATTTACTGTATAGGCCAGGTTGATTTCCACACCTCCCCCAGCAAATGAAAACAAAAACAGACAATGCCAAAGCTCACGTTGATTTTAAGTGCTTTACAATGATCCAATTGCCTTATATGAAATACCTTTCTCAAAATGCTCCCATGGAAAGTAATTAACTCGAATGGAGTTTCAAGCATGTCTTAATGGTAGTCGTCTCTCTGCTATTCACTGTTTTGAGGGGTTGCTGGGGGTTTTTTCCTCCCATGCTCATTATTCTCCATGCAACATTTAAGATATAGTGTGGGTCTGATACTCAGGAACTTTCTTTCATGCAGTTTGCAGAATGATGTGCTGCAGCATGTAGTACTGAAACAGGAAACCTAAATCTTAAGGGAATGAAAGCTGACAATAAGCATTCTCTGCTGTTGAATAAAGCGTGCCTTTTCACTGCAGCTTCTCCAGGGAGCCTGTTGTTTTGCACATCACAGTACAATGCTGTTATGATACAGACACTGAGAGATGAACTTTAAGGGTGTCTTATTACTTGCATCCGCCTACAAGTACCCTGGAAATGCCCGTGTAACTGTCTTGTTATGGATTTCATTTCTGATAACGCCTCTCCCAGGCATAAAATTTCAGTGCTAGCACATCCGTGTTTCTAGTCTCAGAATGTAAATCCCAGACAAAAGCAACTTCCAGAGTTGAAATTTCTAAATAGCTTTTGAATAAATAATGTTACTGCACCCTACCACCCCAGGGAAGTAATGGCAAGAGAACAACAGAATCGCCTCTGCCCTGCCATTATTTGGAATAGCCAGCACCCTCCTTCCTGGAAGTCCTGCACTGTGCTCCAGCTTGCACAGGGCAACTGAAAACCTCTGCCATGAAGGGAAGGTTATGCAACCAATCCCATGGACCCAGTGGGATTTGGAGTAAGGCCTGTAGCAGTAGGCCCAAAATAAGCAACAGCCTAGATACAGGGCTTGACTCTACACCTATTAAATCAAAGGCAAAATTCTCTTGTGATGATGATACTTGCAAACTTTTTGAAATAGATAGTTACACCAAGGGCACCCGAAATCAGTGGGAAGCCACCTGTTGTAAAGATAATGGTAAACCACTCGATTTCTGTTCAGTAAATGCAACTCACTCTCCCCTACAGCCCCGTGAAGTTTGTGTTCGCTGTGCTATTGATCTCAATAGGAGTAGGGTCAGGCACTCCCAAACTGTACATGAGTAGAGATCATCAAATAGCTCTTCTATACAAGCATGGCCAGGTGAATTTGCAAAGAAGGGCATTTTATTATCACAATGCCTGGTAAAACTGCACTAACCATCTTTTCCTCATGGTGCGTTCACTTGGCTGAAAATGTAGTTATGGTAAATCACAGATGCTAAAGAATGTCTGGAGATGTCCTTACAGCTCAGGTATATGTCCCTAATAAGCACCCATAGCCGTTTCACTGTCAAAGAGATTCTCTTTAAATATGCTAACAGAAAGGTTTGGGAAAACGTGGCTCAGGTGGAGAGAGAGCGCAGAGTTGATGCAAGTTACTTTTTCACAAAGTTTCCTTCAATGTGAAAGGACCAGTGGCTTGGAATTAAGTGACAGCATTAATTTCATACCTTTGCTGCCATGCGGTTAGATGGTACACAGGATGCCAGTACATTAATATGAATATAAAGATATCCAAGGAGCAACCAGAAAGTTCAGACAGAATGGATATATGAGTACTTAGCGAATAGTTTACTTACCTAGGGTCCAACCCAAAGCCTACTGAAATTCTGCAGACACTGTATCTCGACTTTAGAGATGACCCAGGCTCTGGCTGAGGTTGGCAGCTGATTTCTATGGAAGTAAATTGGGATGCTTGTTTTGTTCCCTATGAATTGCTAGATGCAGAGTACATACTTACATAGAAGCAAGGTAGAAATAGATGCCAAGCCTGTTTTAGCTGAACTGCAACACAAGCCCTAAGGTGGGGGCTGCCAGATATTTTTATCGCTTCTCCAAATGAAGAGAAAATAAAATTCTAGACTGACAGCTCAGTTTAAGACCTAACGAGAACGTTGGAAAAGTGCAATACAATATTCTCAGCATACATCTGAGGAAGCCACAAATAACTGAATGATAGTTTTTGTGTGCTGCATAATATCAGTGGTGTCTATTATGACATATGATAAATCAAAAGGAAATCAACATCAATTTCACATAAAAAGGAAATTGCAACTTGTAACATTAACATAACTGCAGTAGTTTGCAGAAATTAAATAAAAAAAGACTCTGATAATAGAGGCTAAAAGGCTAATGGCTCAGTATATTAAAATGCAGAAACTTCTACAAATTGTAATGGAAGCAAGTAGAGGAATATTATTTAGGAAAAAGAGTATTTTAATTAATGCAAGGCAAGACTTTTTTACACTTACAGAGTGAAATAAATCAATTTGGCTGGGTGACAGATTTATAAGTTAAAGAAATACGTGCAAGATGCTAATGACCAAAATTTGACCCTCCTCAAAAAAGAAATAGCCTTTGAATTCAGTGTATTTTTAGTTCCATGCCATGGAGAAGGAATGTTTTAAAAGCAGCCACTCCTTGTGTAGGTCCTAAAGGCCTCTTTAATTACTCCTCTAGTGTTTTCAAGAAAGTACATCTCTATGTACAGAGTAGCATTTATGAAAGCAGCTACACAGTTGTACAACTAAATTAACCTTTTGCAATGAGAGCAACTCAACTTCCACAGGCAAAGATAAGCTTTAGAAGCACAAACTGATGTTCTTCCCAAATACCGTACGCAGCGATAAGGAGATCCTTTGAAAAATCTAACCAATAGTTAATTGTGTTTTTCTGTTACAAAGACAGCAGATGACAGCACCGATGATGCTAAGGAAGAAACAAGGGAAGGAACAGAAACAACAGATCATTTTCAAGCACCATTAGGAACAAAAAGAAACTATACAGGTTTTCCCAGTGAAAGCAGACAGGTCACCTGGTCTTAAAATACTGAGAGCTTGTAGCTTCCCCTGGAAAAGAGGTTCTGAATTGATAATAAAGAAAATGGTATTTTAAGGCTTAGGGGAGTAAGTAAAGAGTTAGCACTCCAGGAAACTACTAAATAATGACCCTTTTACTCAATTGATACTAGTGCCTTTTCCGAGATAGCTGCTGCCTTCATTAATATAGCCAACTATCATTTCAAATGCATTTAAATATCAAAGGAGCGTGCTAAATCCTAGCAAACTCATCTGCCTTGGCCTGTTTTGAAACCTTAGTATTCTACAAGATTTGGTTTTAATTCGTAACTGAAGGGTGAATAGGGTTCTAGCAAAGGACCAAAACCCCCCAAAAACCCAAAACCCCAAAACAAAATTAAGCCTTTCAATTACACCAGGTCTATTCCAATGCAGTATGTATATCATGTAGGCTAGGACACCACTTGCATACAGTGTCTAACCAGCCCTGCATGTCAGTGCAGTCGGTTAAAATCACACTTCCAGGCTGCTCCAGGGCAGCCAAACTGAGAGCTCAAACTGACAATCCAGACCTGAATGCCTGAGCTAGGAGCCTGCATGCATTTCATTGCTCTGCCTTTCAGGACACGTCTACACCATACCAAGCAAAGGTGGAGACACTAGCCAGGGTAGGGCATGCCCAGCAAAGTAGCGGCTAGTCTGGTCCCAGAGCCTGAGTCAGCCTGGGTTTCTCAGCCCAGCACCGTTCTGCGCTGCGTAGACATGCCTTTAAATGCCTTCTGCCACAGGTAGCATGCAACATGCAAAGTACCATCTGTTACCCCAGATCAAGAAAATAGTGTTTTTCCCGTGCTTTATCTAAGGAAGGGACAAAGCTAAAAAACCACTGAAGTCAGTACAAGTCTTTCCTTTGACTTCAGTGAGCTTTGGTTTTAACCCTAAAAGCCATTAATAATCCAGAAACTGAACTCTAAGCATTACTCAAGAGCCAAGACTTGGCTACACTTGCTTGCACTGCATTGCACCTTATTTTTCAAGGAATTCTCTCAACTCCAACTTTCCCATGGCCTGTTCCATGGGAGGAAGAGTGGCAGGATCCTCCGCCAACTGTCCTGCTATGTAGAGAAGCCCATTTAATTAATTCCTGAATCAGTTATGTTTGGCCATAAGCACCTGTGGTTCGCATACCAACAAGACAATCAATTTTCTCTAGGTCCTTCCCCTTCTGTAAGCAGCACACTCAGCACTGCAATCTGTCACTTCTAGCACTGAAACAGTCCCTGGTAGCAGAGCCCCCACGTTTCAGCAAACTTCTAGAAACAAAGTAGTCAATAATTGTGGAAGGGGCTGAGGCAAAACCAAACCCCTGACATTTGACCCTGCCAAACCAAAGCAAATCACTCCCAATAATGGATGTCTTAGTGCTGCCCTGAGCAGTTTTAGGGTTGTAACGAGCAAGTGGCTGCATCTCATTGTGGAAAAACCTACCTTTTGTGCAAAGCAGCTGTTTCAGTCATCCAGGGCTCTGCTCATGGGGTGCATGTACTTTATATCACACTGATAGTAATGCAGGCCTTGAACAAGCTTTTCGTAGTGGCCTATTTCTCTGGGTAACCAATTTGAGATCCCAGTCCTCTGAATTTTAGACCCACTCTGAGCTATCTCAAGTTGGAGACCCAGGGAGCGAGGCATCCACAGTCACTTGTCATATCTGAAAATCTTGGCTTTTTGCAATAGGAAACTTCAGCTATTGGTGACCACCCAGCAGTACATCCTTGGTGCAAGCTGCAATATGTCACTAGAGCAATTTCATAAATCTATGAAACTATGAATTTAAGCCTTGCTTGAAACCAGGGGCAGCAGCACTGACACAAAACATGTTTTATTGCTTAGCCCTTCAGTAAGACAGCTATAAGCTGTACTGGCACAAACACCAACAGCTGCAACAGATGGCAAGGACAAGATCTGTGAAAAGTTTGCTGTCTGTTTCCATAATCCATCTCCCCTCATTATCACATCAGCCAGCTATGCAACACTGGCAGCATAGAGGGAGGTTTTATAGGGAAAAACTCTTCAGCTGAGGTTTCTCATCCTGCTGGCTGCTGCTACCTGAAACATTTCTCTCTCCACACTGGATGATGCTCCTGTGCCCAGCTCAGCCCTGTGTTTAGTCATAGCTCCTGGCCCTTTCCACAGCTTTCCACTGCAAAGAGGGAACAATACAAGCACTTCATCTGGCTCAAAGCTAAATTAAAATGTCTCTGGTTCTTGTTTGCAGTGAATTAAGTTTGTTTGCAAACACATTTGCAACATAGCATCAGATTAATGCAGCATACCCTCTTGATGCCATGTAAATTATTTGTTACACAGATGGTAGACTACATGCATCTAATTTCACCTGTTTTGTTCTTTATATTTACCTGTCCCAGGAAACTCTCTGTCATGTTTTAAGTGCTGGTTAAAAATTTGTAAATGA